AAAAAAAAAAAAAAAAAAACACACACACACACACACACACACAAAAAAAAGCCTACAAACATTTAATGTTAGTAGCTGTAGCTTGAAAGAAATTGAACACACACAATGATATTTTTTACTTACTGTAAGTTGTCCTGCTACCCCAAAATCTGCAAGTTTAGCATGTCCTTCTGTATTTAGTAATATATTCCCAGCTTTGATATCTCGGTGTATTTTCCTCATAAAATGCAGATATTCTAGTCCTTTGAGGGTTGACTGTACTATTGTAGCAATTTCCTCTTCTGTCAACTACAGAAGACAAAAGTTATAGCCAACCATGATTCACCGAGACTATAAAGCATCTGATGTGAAAGACTGACATTTCCTTGCCATATCAACTAACAGAAAATTATAGTTTCAGTTAGAAATATACAGAAGGTATGGTTTTACAGTTTCACACAGTGTTGTATGCCCTTTCACAAGCAGATATTTATGCTGTTACAAAATAACTAGAGACTCATTCTGTTTTTGGAAGCATTGTAGTTCATCTAATCTGAATAGCTACTAAATCCATAATTACATTAACTAATTAGCTAACTTGATCTAGCTAGCTATGTGGCGATAGCCACCCTCAATTTCAGAAATGTCAGGCACTTGCTACTCACACAGCAACCAATGGAAGCTCTGGTTGCTGAGCAACTATAAAAAGAAAAGAATCCAGCCAGTGAATGATGCACAGACCACTAGCCACCTTCTCACTATCATTTGTAACATTTAGGTTGCATACTTGTAAGTGATTTTCATAACGTGTTAAGATTTATAAAATACCAAGAGTTAAGGAGAAAGAACATACCGTTTTATTTCGTAACCGAATAATGTCAGATACAGATCCAGCTCCACAGTACTCCATGACTATCCACAGGTCCGTGTTCTTAAAATAGCTGCCGTAGTATTTGACTACATGGGCACTACAAAAAAATAAGGGGGTGGGGAGCAAGATGAAAAGAGAGAGCATCATGTTATTGACTAAAGTAACTCTATATGTGGCAGCACAATACAAAGCACAACCAACGCCCGCCTCCATCCTTCACATACACACACACACCTCCACCCTGCAAAATCTACTGAAAATTCAAGGTCAAATTCAGGATCCCAAATTTAAATACTGAGCATATTACAAAGTGAAGAGTTCACAGGAAGTGCTCATATCCTCCATTAAAAGGAAACTCCCCTTGAACACAAACACCCTTCTTAGTTCTACAGTTCAGTTCTGGATCTTAATGCTTTTTAGAAACTTAATAGAGTTAGGTCATTTTATCTCATCTACCGTCATTGTCTGGTTACCTAGCAAATAACCCAAAATCAGAACAAAACAGCTGTCCTTTGGAAAAAAGCTAAAGGCTGACTAGACAGAAATATAGAGCTAAAGAAAGGAACAAAACTGGTTTTAATCTGCAAATGACTAAGTAATTAAGGCAGAATTAAATGCTAATAAAGGAGATTTCTTTAATGTCTGTGCAGAACATAAGAGTCACATGATTTTCTATCCATGGTATTCACAAGTGTGGAGTAGACAGACAAATGAAAGGCTTGATTCCAGTCAGTCTGGACATTTTGGTTTCAAGAAGGAGAAATGTTCACAGACCATTGTAAGTTATTTGGGGAAAAAAATTGTGAGCATTTTATTATTTGGGTGATAAGTTTGCACAAAGAGTGAATAGCAGTACAATTCTATTCGGAATCCTATTTTTTTAAGTACAGTAAATGGTATTTCATTTAAGCTTGCAGTCTGAGAAAACAGCAATTAATTTATCTAGATGTGGAATATCAGCATATAAAAAAAAAAAAAAAAAGAGTAGAGTTTACATTTTTCATTCGGGGAAACACTTTGGTATAAGGACTTCTGTGCAGCGGATCTCTCTGTAATCTTTTCTAATCAAACAATTTTCCCATAAGTAATGACTGGTGTTATTAATACAAAACCTGAAGACCCTGATTTCCAATCTCCCAACAATTGTGCAAAAGTAACACTGAATGTGCACTGACCTACAGGCATATGTTAGTGTAAGGGTGGCCAGACTGCTGCACATGTGCCACAAGTGTCATAGAGAGCCTCTGCCACAGACTGGGGAGGAAACAGTGAACACAACAACAGATACTGCAGGGGGCACAGAGCACGGGAAAGAAAGCAGAGTGATGAAGCAGGCAAGGAACACAGCACAGAGCCGAAAGCGGTGCAGCAGACTGGAGTGGTACTCGAGGAGGGCATGGGGCTTAGTTTGTGGCACGCCTGTCAAAAAGGATGGCCCCCACTGAGTTAGTGCATGAAAATCTATGTATGCTGAGGATTTACAAGTGAAAATTCTGTCATCTTTGCAGACAATAGTGTATTTGCATCTCTGTGTGTTATGTTCTGTCACTGGACCTCCACCAGAGCTCCACTTTAAATAAATCAATCAAGGCCAAAATCTCTGCTGCCTTTTAGTTTCTGTAAATGATACTGTTATAGTACGATGTTTCTAAATTAGACTGAGAAGAGGACAGCAGAAGACTTTTGCAAAGAAGAACCCAGTTTACATCACACTTACTTTGTCAGTATTTCCTGGTCCACCTCGGACAGTATAATTGCCGGTCTAACCTCTAAAAAAGTGTTTAAGACAGCATAGCAACTCTTAGATCCAATTAGTAAATAGCAGGTTACATACACTACTCTTCTTTCATCAATGCATATGGGTTTCACTGCATGCACTTACCTGTCACATTGCTGCATTATGGATATTTCCTTTATAATCTCCTGTAGGTCAGATTCAACAGGGACTTGCTTAATTGCAACAACCTGACCCGTCTCTTTATGAATAGCTTTGAATACACTGCCATAGGATCTGTAATAGACAATTTGAAATACTGAACACAAACACTGCCAGAGGTTAGAAACTGGCACGCTGTTTTAGTGAAAAGATCACTGCAAAAGGGAGAGCCAGCCCAATCTAAGCATACTATCAGACTCAAAGTTGCCTGTAGGTTAGCATACTGCTCCTGGTGGGCTATCCTGCCATCAACAGAAATAATGCAAGAGCCACATTCTGGATGCTTAAAAAATTATCTTTTCACCCATTTGCAAAGGAAGTTGAGCACATATCTCATACAGACATATGAAATGACCATGAGGGTAAAGAATGAAGATTTCCTCAGCCTGGGTAAATCAAGTCAACAACTGGTAGGCAAAAGGAAAGTATGAACTAAATTTATTACCTGCATTCACCCAATTTTTTACACTCAGTTACAATGCACAGATTCTGTCCCACTGATACAAAATCACTGCAATACTACATAGGCCACAAGTAAGTGCTGGTGGGGGACGGGATGGATGGCACAAATGCATGCCCCTGCCATTGCCCCTGCTGCTGCTGGATGTTGGGTCCAGCCAGGCTGCAGCCCCAGGCCCTGTTGTCTGCACAGAAATTGTACCACCACCACTACCCCCACTGCTGCTGGGCTCTGGCTCCAGCCAGGTTGCAGCCCCATGCTCTGCTGTCAACACAGAAGCCTGGCAGGGGGCGAGACAACCTTGTGTCACCAATGCAATACTAGCTACCTGTGGGTGCACAGATACAAAAAAGGTCAAGTTAGGATTTTGCTCTAAGATAGTACATTTCACCCACAGATGCCAAAAGCCAGAAGTTTTCTGATCTAACATGGGGAGACTTCAGGGCTGAGGACAGATGCAACCAGCAGAGACTCTGTGTTCTGCAGATGAGCTCTTGATACTTAGCACAGAGTAAATACCGTATAAGCTATGATTTGAGATGAGCAAACAAAAAAAAAAAAAATGGAAACAAGATGCATCAGGCCCTACTTTCAAATGTTTTTCTATTAAATCAAAATGTTTGAGTATCTCCTTCCTATTCCCAAAAATGTTATTACTTCAAAAGGCAAGGATGTGAACAAGAAACTTCTTTGGAGAAAGAGGTTTTTAAATTCTTATTTCTTCCAAAACTCTAAACAAAAGATACAGAAATTAACATACTTTCCTGTATGTTAGTTTTCTGGGGTTTCCTGGGTTTTTTTCCTTCTACTCTACAGATAAACTGGAGAAGTGCCTACTGCAGATATTTTCAAATCTTGCCTTCTACACCTCACAATCAGAAAACTGACACTGTCATTTAAATAGACCAAATCTGCCCCAACTGTTTCAAAGAAAAGTATTTCCAACAAAAATATGTAGGTTAGCTCATTTTAAGGTTTCAGCACTGTATTCAGAACATAGGTGTACAAACCACTGGTTGGCTCATGGCTCTGCAACAGGATACAGTACCTCTCTCTCACCTTTATGGCCTTAATTATAACCAGACTAGGTCAAAATAATCAAAAGTAGTTCCTAGTTGTATGTTCTGTAGCCTGTCTGAAATAAGGTGCTTTTCAATACTGTTGGTAATAACCACCAACCTTGGTGACAACAGAAAGGCCAAGAAAAGAAAAATGAATAGGAAGTGAGAATAATCTCTGAGTTAATCCTAGACGTGTGCTCTGAGCATGCACATATCCAAGAATCTGATTTAAAGCATGCAGCTAGGGACACCATTTTTAACATGCAGTGTATTAATTTGCAATTGATGTGTTTGTGCTCCGAGTCCAAGATTTGAGGTTCTCAAAAATCACTGAATGTTTAATTGGATGCCAGTTACTAAAAGTTTACAGTCCACCTATTTTGCAAGAATTCCTGATATCCTGTTTGCATATCCAATGTCAATTTAATGATCTTCGGGCTCATCTTAAAGGACTATCAGTTTAGGGAAGTAGTCTGCGTTTTAAATTTGCTGAATGCAGCTTATTCAGCACAAGACTAAAAACAAGGGCCAGTGAAGAGAACAGAAAATAATAGCTCACAAACAGAAGAACAGCTCCCATGCCTCTCTTACTTGGTACCCTCATCCCACGCACAACAATTTCCCAAAAGGACTACTGGAGACTCCAAGATAAAGAGGAAAGGTTTAATTTCAGTTTTCAGTCTTCAGTCTTCAGCATTAATAGAATGCTTAAAGTTCTCCACATACAGTGTGAACAGATATTTTTATCTACTCTTTGTATTCCAACTTTCCCTTTCTTGCTTGACCATGCGTTTTGGTTTCCAATTTAATTCTGGGTTTTATACCTCAAATACAGAGGTGACATTTTCTAACTACAGTTTGTACATTAAAGAAAAATCTACAGGCTTACTGTTCATAGCTGCCCAAGATCACAATTTATGCTAACACTTTCAGTAATTTAAAACTTTTACTCTAATAATTCCAATTCTGCATCCTTACCAGTTGGATTAACACATATACAAATGTTATTCCCAGTATTTTCTGTTAGAAAAGCTGATTCTTTTGACCAACTAAGAACTATTTGATTTACAAGACCCTGTAGTGGAAGTAACCTTAAAAATGCAAACCCCAAAATAGTAGTCTTATTCACCAGAAATGAAGGACCAACCTACAAACAATCTTGAAACCATTTTGTATGTTCATTTAGTGAAATCATTCTTCCCAAAGTTTTAGGAAGTTATATTTTTTCTCTTCTGTAAGCTCCTTTTTCTAGCAAGCTGTACTTCTCCAGGAGCATTGCTGGTGCTGATCCTCTCTCTACTTCTTTCCTAATGACTCCTGATAAACTACAGTATCTCATACTCAAACAACATAAATCACTACTAACCTCAGTAACAATGAGGCACCTAAATACCAGCTTGAGCCCAACTGCATTAACGAGGAGAGACTTCTTATGTAACCTTCTTCAAGTAACTGGATTCCCCCTCCCCTGTTAATTCACTTCTTAATGTGAAGTTTCATCATTAAAAGACAAAACAAAATAATCCATATCTGATTACTTAAACTTTTCTGGCAGTACTCTGTCATGTTTTTACACTTCTTCCATTTAAAAATGGAATTCTGACAACTCACAGTGGTTAGATGATGTAGAATACATGGTAGATCAGGGAGGCCAAACTTATTTGGTTTGTGGGCTGGACGAGTGATGTGGAGCCAATTTGCGAGCTGGATTAGGCATGCAGACCAGCCCCACATGTCCTGGATGAGTTGCTCCAGGATCATGCTGCACATGGCGTCTGCTGCATGCCAGATCCAACGTGTGTTCTGGAGCAGATGTCACATGTACCCCTGAATGGCTGGAGCAGGTACTGCATACGGCACATAGGACCACCTGGCACACCATACAAGCTACCTATGGGTACACTCAAGACCATGAGCAGCACTGGAGGCTGAATGATAGTGCTGCGCAGGCTCTATCTAGCCTGTGAGCAGCATCTTTGACACCTCTGTTGTAACTGATCCAACGCCAGGAACCAGTCACACTACCACCCCCCACCTCTGGTAAAAAGAGAGAACATTACATGGTTAAGAGAAATGTTATACCCATTTTTATAACATACTTACCCTTCCCCCAGCTTCTCCAGTACATCAAATACTTCTTCAGGTTGCTTGGTTAAACTATCTTCATCCAACTTCTTCAGCTGCCTGTATACACAAGGGCATAGAAACAAAGGTTAAGGTACTATAATTTGGGTATTTCTGAGAACAGAAGTGTGAGACAAAGGTTTTAAATCATACAGCATTGAGAAAGTTTGACAAAAAATGTATTTTGTCATAATCATTTAAGATTTCATCTACCTAAGAAGTAAAATACAGTTCACTAGATGCAAATCAGAACACCAAACACTAAAAACAGCTTTGAGTCTTACAGGGAGCAGAGTTTTATCAAACACATAGATCTACATTTCCTCTGTGCTGCAGGAAACAGTTATATATCCAAGGCACCAGAATATGAGGGATCATGTCGGGGTGCACTTTACAGATTCCATAATTAACAACATCGTGTCTACTGCTTCCTGAACAAACCTTCTGCTAGCTTATAGATTTAGACCATTAAAGACTACGCTTTTGTAGGATGGGGGTTGTTCTTTTTCTTGCTCATTTTTTTCACTAGAAATTCAGAACTTGTTTATCCTTGAAAGACAGAGCGACTGGTGAGCTGGTATGACAGAGTGAAGGGGGAGGTAAGGAAAGGAAATCAATGAAAGTATAATGCAATCAGTCAAGGTGGAAAGTGATGTTAACAGTAAATTAAAAAGTGACCTAACACCTGGAGTTGAAACTCTTATGAGGAAAGATGACTTGGTTAGAGATTCCAAAACTTCTTTAGTCCCTTCAGTTGCGGGGGAGGGAAGAAGAGAGGAAAGAACCATGCCAATTTTATGCATCACAAACCAACAAGAAAAATGCAAATTTCTTTTCTCTTTTGCATATCATCTTTAACATACTTCAGAATTACTGACCAAGAAGCTACATATAAATCACTATCAAGTTCTAAACAGCTCTTAAGGACACAAACACCCAAACCCACATCTTTTATGATCCATTAAGTAGCCAACACATGTCATAAGAAAAAGTGCATTGCCTCTGAACTAAAAACAGTTATACTATGGTTACAGAAGACAAATGGACTTTTGTAGCTCTTTATCAAGCAATTCTTAAGTCTCCACATTTGAATTATATAAAAAAATGAAATACACATGGCTGCCTGCTGTTTATAAATAACACGAGCTGTTGTCACTAAACATGAAGAAAACAGGTACAGTTTGTATCTAAGATACTAAAAATGTAAAAAGCTTTTGTGAAGTTGCTGAAGCTAGGACTGGAAAGCACTCAGTGTGCATCTGCTATTACATCAATATGCAGAAGCCATATAGGAGAAGCAAGATACACATGGGCTTTACATACAATGGCTTCCTGAAATGAAGGAAACATACAAGCAAGCAAACTCAGGAAGTGGCGAAATACTGAAAGTCACTAGCTTCTTTGCAATGATAAGCATTAGACCAAAAGAAGGTTACTTGTTCTTGCCTGAATAACAATACCTCGTCACCATTACCAAATAGCTTGAAATGTAGTAATCTAAAGGGCAGATACTATAGAATAAAATGTGTAGAATTAGATCCAGGCACACACCAATTCTACATGATTTTAGAAGATCCAAACATCACTAAACATCTAAACATCCTGAGCTCTTCAGGAGCCAATTTATTGCCTACTTCAAGTGACGCTAAGATTCCTTGTTCCTGAACATATTCAGAAATTCAGTGGTATTCTTTCAGCATCTAATGAGCCTGAGTCAGGAGTGATCCAATTTATCTAGGACACCCTGTCTTTTACAGCATACATTTCTATAGAGGGTTAAGATGGAAACAAAACCAATTTTGCTTTCTGGAGTGTTCACATCTAATCTGGGTCAGGTATAGTTAAACTTCCATACAGACAATTATATACTAAATTATAGGTAAACTAAACACATTACTAACAGCAGATATTTTGCTCCCTTGTCAGTTAAATGAGAACGAAAAAAAAAAGAAAAGAAAGCCAGCTGCTATCTGTCCCAAAACAAAGGAAACTGCCTCTTCTGCTCATCTCTCAAACATACAGTTAGAAACAGCTGCACACCACTGATAGTGTTCTGACAGACTGAAACTTTATTCAGTTGCTGAAGTGCTTCCAAATTATCCTCTGTCCAGAGTTGTTCAACAACACTCTGCAGTGAAATGATAGGCTACTAACAGCTTGATTCACGTCTCTGAAATCCCAAACTGACACTGCCCACACACCCAACAGATGTTACTTATCAGAAAAAAGTGAGAGCAAACACTAAGGAATATTAGCAACAATATACAAGGCATTGAACTGAGCTTCAGAGGATAAGCATCCTGTCACTGCTAGCTTGCACTTTTAACTGTTAAAAGGACTAACTAGGACATTAGTAAATAAGTCATTTCATTCCCCCACTCTTAATACACATGTAATAAATAGCGGCCTTTGTTGATGAGTAACTTTAATTAAAAGGGAAGACACAAGTGACTTCCAAAAATCAAAATTCTACTTCCTTAGATTAAATATGCCCTAGGCCTTTCCCAAACTAATTAAAAAGAAATTTAACATCTGATTTGACATGTCTCAGTCAGTCCTAAAAGGAAAAGTTGTTTTTCAGGGGTTTTTTTAAGAGTACAGAATGAATCTCCTATTGAAAAATGGAAGCTTGTAAGTCATTAGTTTTTCATGATCTAACAAGGTTTCCTTGAAGGTTTCAGACTTGGTTATACTAGCGTGTTGTCTTTCATTCAAAAGTCCTCTTAATTAGACTTTTAAGATTAACTCCCAATATTAACTCAGTCTAAAATTAGAGGGAAAAAAATGAACAGATTCATATTGCTGGCAAGGTTTCATACTTCTACACTTTCTGGGGTTCTTTGGAGGAGGTTTGACATCCCCCATTATTTCCCATCAGCTTCTGGTTTTGCTTGTGAACAATATGAGCCAAAGGTTGCAACGGAATAAATTACACATCAGTTGATCCATTTCTTCCCCTTGGCTACTTAAATCATCTGGTTGTGAATTGCTCCGTCTAGGCTCCACTGCTCTCATCCATAGTCAGAGATCACCGAACCTTAAAATAGACAGGAACACTGGCAGAATGCAAAAAGAACATGACAGATCTCACCTAAAAAAAATTTTGTGCAGTGTTGCAAGAGACACACAAGGTTATCACAACAAGTGCTAGCAACTACCATGCCAAAATACCTTCAAAATATTTCTAAGGTATTTTAAAGGGTCACCAGCTTGACTTCTAAATCACTGGGAAGTGAACTTTCCCAAATGTCAAAGAAAACATAACTGTTATAGGATCTATGATACAGTGCATGTGCACAGATGAAGATAAAGCCCTCCAAATATTCTGCTATAAAAAGATGCGAGTTCCCTTAGCTATCATCACTTGCCAGACTTAGTGTTTGGAGACCTAGAAGTAATTATAGGGCATCCAGAACTCCAGACGGAGTTACTTATGACTAACAAATATATTCCGCACCATATACATGGAATAAGTGCATCAGCAACAGGGAAATCCCACAAGTTTTGCTTTCCTCCTTGAAATATTTTAGTTGCAACTCTAAGCAATATATTCTATCAACTAACTGATGCTCCTTGCAAAGAAAGGAATATTTTGAAGAAACTACCTCAGTCATCTTAGCTGTACCTACTGGGTTCCAGAGAAAAAGGGTATTATTAAGATGACAACATTACATCTATTTGGACTTACAGTAATGACCAGATTTCCCCCCCACCCCTTTAATCCCATTTTTTTCAATGCCTTGAATACCAAAGGATTTGGATTTTCCTGTCACCTTACATAAAAAGGCAGGTTAAGCTGGAACATTTCTTTGAGTTTCCCCCTGTGCTTTCTGATACCTATTTAGACTGCCAACCCTCAGAGGTAAATGACTCTTATTCTGTGAAGAGCTGAGGGAATTCAGCACTTCAACAATGACTCTTTGATCACGCTAAGGCAGAGGTGTCTTAAACATCACGACTGCAAAAGCACAGCTCTCATTTCCATGATTGGCAATTACGTTGCCAGGACTCCCGTTCCTTGCCATACTTGCATTCGGTAACGGTGACTCGGTGTTGTTACTCAAGGGCCTCAAGGCCTTTCTTGCTTCATCTCGCTCCTTGCTTTCTGAAACAAAGTCCAGTTACAGGCTGGACACGGCTCCAGCGTGACAAGCCTGACTCCCCTAACCCCATGCAACAATACACCTGCGAGGATGGTTTGAAGGAAGGTGGAACCGACGACCAAACACTCCAGCCAGGAGGGGAGCGACTCCCCCAGCTACAAACAAACGACCTGTTTAATTCGGGGCTGATTAATTCGGGCGAAATCGGATTCGCGTCAATACGCAACTAAATCACAACAGCTGCAACTACCCCGCGGTGGGGCGAGGTGCCGCCCTCGGCCCGGGCAGACGCGCTGCCAACCCGGGCGCTCAGAGCCGCGAGTCCCCATGGCAACCGGGTCTGCCGGCCCGCCCCCGCCTCGCCTCTCCTCTCCTCTCACCGGCGCGGGTTGCGCAGCTGCACTGTCTCCATGGCGCGGCGGGCCCGTGTGGGCGGCAGCAGACGCGCTCACTCCGCCATGGCCCCGCTGCCTCCGGTACCTCCAGCTCCTCCGGCCCCGCGCGGCTTCCGCTCCGCTTCCGCCTCCTGCGCCCCCACACGTCGGAAGCGCGGGGCGGGGCCGAGCGGCGGTCACGTGGCCTCCCGGGGGCGGGGCTCCGCGCCTCCTGCGGCAGAGGGGCGTGGCCAGGCCGCAGGACCGCCCCCCAGCCCGAGGCAGTTTCCCAGAATGCG